TGGGCAAATCAGCCAGAGCTTGCTTCTAAAATATGTACATACATACATACCTACATACATACATACATACATACATACATACATACATAGGTCTGGAGATGTAGCTTAATGGTAGAGCACTTGCCTAGGAATTGCAATGCCCTGAGTTCAATCCCCAGTACTGGGAGGGAAAAAAAGCACCGGATCATACAGATTTGCCTTCATGAAGGGATCTCAGGAAGGGATTAATGCTATCTCACAGGAATGAATTTGAGTCCCTTCTCTCACGGGACTTGATTGATTGGTGGTTACTACCATAAAAGTAGGTTATTACCAAAGCAGAGCTGTCCCTTGTGTTCTGTCTCTTCTGTACATACCTTCTCACTTCTGACTTCTGCCATGTTAAGGAAGCATCATGAGGCTGACATTATGGGGTCACTCAATCTTGGACTTTTTAGCCTTCAGGACCATGAGCCAAAACCTCTTTTCTCTATAAATTACCAGTCTCAAATGTTCCATTATAGCAATAGGAAATGGACTAAGGCATGTATCAAATGATAATAACCTAAGTATGGTAAAATAAAGACATTCTTAGATAAAATTAAGAGCCAGTAAACCTTAAGGAAGCTGTTCACATAAGAATTACAGAAGAAACCTTGAAATATTAGAAATTCAGGAAGAATATCCACATAAATATAAATGACTATTCTCTTATCTTAAATTCTTTAAAATAAATTGGCTGAATGTAAAAATTATAACCTTGTTGGATAAAGTTTTAAGTCTATGTAGATGTGCTGGGTATAATGGCACATGCCTATCTCAGCACTTGGGAGGCTGAGGCAGGAAGATAACTGCAAGTTCAAGATCAGCCTAGGCAATATAGTGAGTTCAAGTCCAGTCTGAACTACATAGTGAGATCCTGTCTCAAAAAAAAAAAATCTATGTAAATGTAATGCATACACACAAAATAAAAAGTAGTGAATAAAGGGACCTATATGGTAAAGTAGGGTTCAACTTTGATCTTGAAGTGGTACAATATCAATTCTAAGTAGTCAGTGAAAACTTAGTATGAATTTTGCAGTCACTAGAACCACCACAAACTATACAAAGGGATATTATGCCAAAAGCACAGTACAAGGAGATTATCACAGAAAACAGCATTGTAAGAAGTTTTGGAGACCTGCCCTTCCAAAATTAAAAACCATAAAATGTAAAAACACAGTTTGAATCAATTATTTGGGATTCTGGAACCTGACCAGACACTTCACAGCAACCAAAGGCATGCTTCATGAAGGAAAATGCTACTAAAATCTGGTAAAACAATAACATGGTGTAAACCATCTACCATCTACATCCCTCAGCTCCATGGAGCTGTCATGGAGACCACAGTTTGCCTTCTTGGAGCAGCTAAATGACATCAGGTGGGCAGTAAGGACCTTCTATTCTAAAAACTGGGCACTGTATATTTTGGTTGGTCATGGTGATTTCTGAGTACCAGCTCCATTGTTTGACTGAATGCCTGCCTTCTAATAACTCTGGAAGATTTTAAGAGACAGACACACTCTTCTTTCTTTGATCCAAACATTTGAGGAAACCTTTTCAGGTCACTGGCTTGGATTTGTTTTCTTACTATTGAGTTTTGAATGTTCTTTATATAGTGTAGATAAAATCCCTGTGTTGGATACATAATTGGCAAATACTTCTTCCAGTCTGTAGTTATTTCATATGCTCAACTGTGTCTCTGACAGTGTCAAAATTCATAATTTTAATGAAGTGCAATTTATCTACTTTTTTAAAAACTAGTGTATGCTATGATACAAGATAGTTACATTTACTCTGGGAACTGGTACATGTATATCCTATCTTGATCACTTTTGGACCCTTCCCCCAAACACACCCTCCCTCCTATCAACTTTTTCTTTTATGGATTATGATTTTGGTGTCATTCTTAAGAACTCCTCACCTAACCCTAGATCACAGACTTTCTCCTAAGTTTTCTTCTAAAAATATCACAGCTTTATTTTATCTCTACGTGTATAACACACTGTGAATTAATTTTTTGTAACCTTTGTCTAACGTTAGTTAACTGTTTTTGTATATGGCTGACCAATTTTTTCTATATCATTTGTCATAAACTATCCTTTTTCTCTTTATACCTTTAAATCACCATGGGGTTTTAAATGGGACAATGTATGGTCAAAATTGTCGGTAACTTCTCATTTAAGTGGTAGAGATATTTTCAAATGCAAATACAGGTATCTGTAGTTTGGGGCTAGAATGTGCAGTGAAGGACAGAAAGCTAGGAGGTAGTGGCTGACAAGAAGTACTGTAAATCAGAATAAAATTTCAAAGATTAAATGGTTCTCTTGGTATTGTTCTGTATCTGCACTATATACTATTCCGCTAATCTATGTGTTTCCTTTTGCCAGTATCACACTGTCTAAAGTACTGTAGCTTTATAGTAAGCCTTAAAATCAAATAGTTGGTTCCTCCATCTTTGTTCTTTTTAAAAATTGTTTGGGTTACTCTAATTTTTTTGTACACCCATATAAATTTCAGGATTAGCTGATCTACATTTACAGCAAATCTTGCAGGAGATCTGAGTGGAACTGACTTAAATCTGTAAGTTAGTGTGGGGAGAACTGATAGCTTCACTATAGTGAGTCTACCAATTAATGAATATGGCACGTTTTCACTTATTTAAATTTTCTTTGCTTTTTTTCAGTAGCATTTTGTATCTTTTAGCACACAGATGTAATTCAGGTTCTGTTAAGATTTACAACTATGTATTTTATTTTTGGGGAACTATTAAAAATGGTATTAAAATTTTAGCTTCTAGTTGTTCCTTGACTGAATGCAAACATGTAATTGATGATTTTTTAAAATTGAGTTTATTGGTACATTTTAGGGATACAGTACAGTTACATTCATTGTTGGGATCTTGTACCTTTACATGACAGGTCTTGGTTCTCATTTTTTCACCTTGTCCCTGCCCTCCCTTCACCCCCTCCTCCCCTCCCCATTTACAAACACTTTATTTTCATCTTTTCATTTTCTCACATTTTTTTCTTTTCCCTTATTACCCTTCTCCTATACATCCCACCTTCCCTACACCTTTAGCCCTTTTCTTCCCATTTCACAATGTCAGTTATCTCCGTAACTGAGTTTTAAACGTAATACTTATATCCCACAACCTGGCTAAATTCAGTTATAGTCCTATAAGCTTCTTTGTAGAATCCCAGGAATTATTTTTTATAGAAAATTATGTCACATTTGAATAGGGAGTTTTTATTTCTTCCTTTACACTACGTATATCATTTATTTCTTTTTGTTGCTGTATTACACTAGCTAATAAGACTTCCAGAACATAATTATCGGTGACAATGGACATCCTTGTTTTGTTCTCAATACACACACACACACACACACACACACACACACACACAGAGTGATATAAATGTATATGATATAAACTAAAATGAAGACACATTGAGACAAACTGAATCCATTATCAGCAGACCCAACTTTAAAAAAATTCTAAAATGTTTTAAAATATACTATGATGAGGTAGTTATATGAGGTGGTAAAGAGATGTCATCTCAAGACATAAAGAATAATTAAAAGTCAAGCAGGTTTTGCCAGGCATGGTAGTGTACTCCTGTAAATGCAGCACTTGGGAGGCCACGGCAAGAGGATTGTCACGAGTTCAAGGCCAGCCTCAACTACAGAGCAAAACCTCATCTCAAAAACTGAAACCAAAATAAAACAAACAAACAAAAAATGTTAAGCACGTTTCAGAAGGGAGATGGGGTTGTGGAAGACGAGAGAACTAAGGTTTTCCAAAAATAGGGAATGGTATGAATAAAAAACAGAGGACAAATCTTTCTTTTACCTCTTGAACTAAGAAACCATTACAGGGTTTTAAGCAGAACAATGTATGGTCAAAATTGTGGTCAACTTCTCATTTAAGTGGCAGTTATTTTAAGGAGCAAATACATTTGTTTGTAGTTTGAGCACAGAAGAAGATAAAGCTAGGAGGTAGTGGTTGACAAGAAGTCACTGGAATAAATCTTCAAAAGAGATTGAAGAGGGCCAGGAATTTAGCTCAGTGGTTCCACTGCCTGCCTCATAAGCACAAGGCCCAAGTTCAATCCCTGGTACCAAATAAATAAATAAATAAACAAATAAAATAAAATAAACAATAAGAGAATAAAGATTTTTATGACAATAAAACATGAGTACAGTGTGTGACAGTGAACATAAGAATACAATAACAGTTCAAATAATAAAGATTAGATTTCATACATGGAATTTTAGTGGATTCATCCTTTAACTTCAGATTAAGGCACCCTAAGTGAAGTACAAGTTGAGCATCCAAAAATCCAAAATATGAAATGGTCTAAAATTCAAGACTTTCTTTATGTCTTTTTTTTTTTTTTAATACTGGAGATTGAACTAGGGCGTTTGTAATAAGAATCCCTAAACAACCCAGACAGGACTCAAATTTAGCAATCCTCCTGCCGTAGCTGCACGAAGTGCTGGAATTACAGATGTGTGCCACCATGCCCATCCGAAATCCAGAACATTCTTAAGTATCCACGTGACATCACAAGTGAAAAATTCCACACCTGATCTCAGGTAACATCCCACAGTCAAAACAAAGTCCAAGGGTCTAATTAATGTTCAGTGGTAGAGTATTGTACCTGTTGTATAAAATTACCCTTAGGTTATGCACTTAAGGTGTATGTGAAGTACAAATGATAGAGGGCTTGCCTAGAATGCATGAGGCCCTGGGTTCAATCAGCACCACAAAATGAACAAACGAAGAAAACAAATGAATTTTCATGTTCAGATATTTAATTACATATATACATGCAAATCCAAAATCTGAAAAATCCAAAATCTGAAATACTTCTGACTTTAAGCATTTCAGATGAGGGACACTCACGCTGTACTAATAAATAATGGTATATGATGTAGGACTCTGTAACAATTATTTTGGTATAGGTTCTATACCTTACCTTCATTTGTGTTTCTAATGGTGTTTGTGCCAAGAAAGGAGGTTGTCCCACCAACATTTCAAAAAGAATAACACCAACACTCCACCAATCACACAACTGTGTATAGCCTAAAGATACCAAAATTATAGTTATTTATAAGCAATCTTTTTAAATGTTCAGAATACAATTAGAATTGACATTAAATCACCAATTTATATGGTCAAATCTATATACTTTTTTTAAAAAACCTGAAAAATAAGGCATATTCTACAGTTAAGTTTTGGCCTATTGAGACTTTTGGTGGGGGGTACTGGGGATTGAACTTGGGCCCTTGGACTTGCCAGGCAGGTGGCGAAACCACTGAGCTAAATCCCCAGCCCCTATTGAGATTATTTATGAAATAAATAAAAGTTTTTGTTTTTGTTTTTCAGGTACCAGGGATCAAATGCAGGACCTTGCACTTGCCAGGCAGGCACAGTGCCACTGAATTACGTTCCTGGCCCAATAAATAAATGTTTTACCTGTTCGTAGCAACACTTCAGGTGCAATATAATTGGGAGTCCCAACCAAAGAATGTGCTAGACATCGCTGGTGCTGGCGTGCAGCTCTGCGCTCCAGAGGCTTTAGTCTATCTCCACATCTACAGTTGGAGGGATCACCCCACTCATTGCTGAAATCCATGCTATCTTGCCGTGGGTGGTCACCTGTACAGTAAAAAGAAAATAAAGCAACAAAGAATAAATCTGAAGTCTGTTTAATTCATCTTTTCATATCTTGATTTAGGGTTTAACATTCCCCCTTACAATTAAAACACAAAGTATGCCAAATCATTGGTGGTGTCTAATACTAATAAAGACCAGTTTTCAGAGATATCAAGAGAAAAGGTTTTACAGTAAGAAAAATACAAGAGTTAGTAGTTTACTCAATGTTAAATGGTAATAAATCATTCAGTGGGCTGGGGTGTAGCTCAGTGGTAGAGGACTTGCTTAATATGCATAGACCTGGATTCAATCCATAGTACTGGGGAAAAAAATGTTATTAAGACTGTTGTTACTACTCTGGGAAAATTTTCAAACAAATTAGATCAGTGTTTTATTCAACAAATGACAAAAATAAAAAGACAAGGTTCTTCACTCAGGCAACTTACATACAACATAACACACATATTTAAGAAACATCATAAACTAAGTGTAAGAGCTCAGTATTAAAGTACATGTTTAAACATACACAAGGCACTAAGTTCAATCCTCAACATCATTAAACAAAACAAAATAAGACAAGACAAAAACAAAGTCTGAGCATGGTAGCTTGCACCTGCAGTCCCAGCTACTTAGGAAGCTGGGGCAAGAAGATAATTTGAACCCAGGAGTTCAAGGCTAGTCTGGGCAACATAGCACAACTTGACTCTTATTTAAAAAGGGGGTGGAAGGTAACGTGAAGTATTCCAAACACAGAATCAAACCAAGTGACTAGACAAATATGACTGGACAGCAGTATTAGATTGAGTGGCAGGAGAGCCCAATTGAGGTAGCATTGTTAGGATGTGAAAAACAAGAAAGATTCAACCATTTGAAAAATCACAGCAAGGCTTTCCACAAAGAAACAAGAGAGAGAAAACCAGCATAGCTGAGAGAGGGGAGAATTTGAAAATGAAGCAGGAGCCAGTGTACATGGGTTTATATCATGAAAAAATAATGGAGAATAAAAAAAAAATACTGGAGAATCTAAAGCAAGAAGATGACAAGATCTAATTTATGCTTTAAAAAAGCAAATTTTAGCCACATGGTTGAGAACAGACAAAAAAGAGGGTTTAGAGTGAAAACAGAAAAATTAAGAAGCTATAATAAGCTGAATGTGATGATACAGGTCTATAATCTCAGCACTCTCTGGGAGGCTGAGGCAGGAAGTTCATAAGTTCCAGCCCTGCCTGGGCAATTTAGTGACTTAGTGAAATCCTGGCTCAAAAGAAAAAAATTTAAAAGGCTAGGAATGTATCTCAGTGCAAAGGCCTTGAGTTCAATTCCCAGTACTACAAATAATAAATAGGTAGATAAATAGCTGTTATAAGCTAAGTGTGGTGGTACGTGCCCGTAGTATTAGCACTTAGGAGGGTGAGGCAGGAAGATCCCTTGAGTTGAGGAGTTCAAACCCAGCCTGGGCAATACAGTGAGATGCCTATTTCAAATAATAAAAGATAAGAGGCTACCACATGTAAACTTGGATGAGGACGGTGGTAACAACTGCAGAAGAGTAGATTCGCGATATATTTGAGGTAGAATAAACAAGACTTAATAGATTAGGTGTAGAGAGCATGAGTAATAAAGGAATCAAGACAACCAGGTGGGTGGTGGCGGTACCATTTATTGAAACAGGGAAGACTAGAAGGCAGCAGATATGGTGTAGTAAAGAGTTCTCTATCAGCAGTGTTAATTTTGAACAGCCTCTTTGTTAAATTTGAAAGCCCTATTTGAAATTCATGTGGAGATTTATCCAGGAGGCAGTTGGATACAAAAATCAGTGATTTCAAGGAAATCATTTCTGACAAGAGAGACTTGGAAGTCAATGACATGTGTTATATGGTATTTAAAGCCGTAACTAGATAAAGTCACCTATAAAAATGTATCTGAAGGGGCCAGAGGTTGTAGCTCAGTGATGTTATGCCTGCCTGGAAAGTACAAGGTCCTTAGTTCAATCCCCAGTACCAGGAAAAAAAAAAGTAAGAAATGTATCTGAAATTAAACTAACTGTAATTATGTTGTGTCTGGGAAGTTTGATTAAAATATAAATTTTGATTCTTCCATGCAGATTCTTACTCAGAAGACTGGAATATAACCTAGGAATTTTTTTCTAGGAATCTTATTTTTAGGAAGAATCACAAATAATTACGATGACTCTGGGGAGACACTAAATTCTGTCCATTTATGTGGACAATGTAAATGTTAATCTGCATGTATTCACAGAAACAAAGGAAGTTAATGATACCTCAGAGAATTGCTATTAATATTAGAGTATATATAAAGTACCTAGCATATAGTAAATATTTGGCAAATCCTACATCAACTTACACTTCCATTTACATGTGAAGGGATCTTGGTGAGGCAGTGTAGCACCCAGAAGTAATATGGGCCCTGTAATCAGACAAACTTGGGTTGAAGACCTACCCCTTACACATAATTTCTGTCTGACATTGGCCAAGTTACTTCAGCTAATTAAAGTCTCATTTTCTTGATACTGCCTCACAGTGTCACATACGTAAAATGGTTAGCATTAAGTTGTGTGATAGTCACATAAATTCTAAATAGCAGTGAAAGTGTTATACATAATAACATGGAGAAACTTCAAACATATGTCAATATAGAAGAATACATATAAGATGATTACACTTAAATAAATGTTCAAAAGTAAAAATTAAATTAATGTATTATTTAGGGATATATACATACATGATTAAAACATGGGGAAAAGCAAAGAAGTGATTACAAAATTCTCAAGAAATGGTTACCACTGGAGGAAGACAAAAAAGTGATTGTTTAAATTAGTCTAAAATATTATCTTGGTAGATATGGAGCTTCATTTAAAAATTACTTCAAGGGCCAGGGATTTAGCTCAGTGGTTCCGCCGCCTACCTCGCAAGGGCAAGGACATGAGTTCAATCCCCGGTACCAATTAATCAATCAATCAATCAAAATAAAAATTACTTCAAAAATGTTATCTAATATATTTCAAAACAAAATTTTGTAAAGAGGTTAACTTACAAATATTAATATTTAGAAACAATCAAATTTATCACTCAGGAGGCTAAGGTTAGAGGACTGAGTTTGTGATCAGCCTGAGCCCTGCAGCAAGACCCTGTCTCAAACCAAAACAAACAAACAAACATACAGGACTCTTTCAGTCTATAAATCTAAGTGTATAAAGAATTCACCTCGGGGCCAGGGATTTAGCTCAGTGGTTCTGCTGTCTGTGTTGCAAGAGAAAGGACCCGAGTTCAATTCCCCGTACCAAAAAAAAAAAAAAAAGAATTCATCTTAATTTATCCAACCCCGGGTCTTCTGGCTCCCATCCAGGGATGATACCATTTTACATTTTACTGCATAAGCAAATCACATTAGTATGAACTAAAATAAACTTTCACTTACCACTCTGATAGTACTTGGAATCATGTGTCCATCTGAAGCCAGTGCAGAGGCCAAAGTCAGTCAATTTAATATGACCATCACGATCAATCAAAATATTATCAGGTTTAATATCTCTATGAATAAAACCCATTTTATGAACACTTTCAACTGCACAAGTAAGTTCTGCTATATAGAATCGTGCCAGATTTTCTGGAAATATTCCCATTCTAATTAACAGGCTCATCATATCACCCCCAGGAATGTAGTCCATTACAAAGTATAAATTGTCCTTGTCTTGAAATGAATAATATAAGCGAACTACCCATTCATTGTCAGCTTCGGCCAATATATCTCTCTCAGCTTTAACATGGGCAACTTGATTTCGAAGCAAAACATCTTTTTTTCGAAGAGTTTTTGTTGCATACAAAGCTTTAGTATCTACTTTTCTTGCTAGACAGACTTCACCAAATGCTCCTATTCCCAGTGTCTTTATCTTGACAAACATAGACTTATCCATTTTAGCCCTTTTCAGACGAATGTAATTAGACTCTTTTTGGCAAAGCATCTTTCTCATTTGATCCTGGGCATCTTGAGATAATCCAACCTGGGTAAATAAACTAAATGTTAAATTATGAATTTTCTTCAATATTGAATATTAAGAAGTAGCTTAGAAAAATTCAGGCATATAGTATAAAGGCTAAATGCATAATAATTTTTAATAAAGCACATTAGAAATCTAGAATATATTTCAGAGAAAATTGATAATCAAAAGTGCAGCTTAAGAAATAGTTAACAGGATATACAAGGTGAGTATGTATGCAAATTCAGCTGTGGAGAGCCAAAAGAGGATACCAACAGACAGCTTTCTGTTCTCTTAATACATTCAAAAATAGCTTCCAAATGTGCAATAAAACAAATGCCTGTTAACATGCATTTTCAATTCTATCCATGCACAACCTCCCAAGCCTTTTCAGGACAAGGCCTCACTAAACTGCCCAGACTAGGCTAGAATTTGTGATCCTTCTACTTCAGCATCTTAGAGTGCTAGGATTACAGGCATGTGGCCTGTCTTCATCCCAAATTACAGGATGAGACTGCCGTCATTAAATGCTTCCTTTTGTGGCATGTCTTGGGTCTCAGACATTCTTCCTCACAGTTTATCTTTCACGAAAAAAAATTCTACTACTCTGATCTCACTATTCTTAAAAATGATGCATTATGAACAACAAAGGGATGCTTTCTATAATCTACCAACCCTTTCTCCTATTCTCAAGAAATAAACTACAGTTACTGACAGTCTTTTCGCTTTGCTAGGTCATAAGAGTAAGAGTGGGAGTTACAGCCCACCATGAACACAAAATGCAAAGAGTCTCTCTGATCTCATTTAGAAGGGACAACCTGATTAAAAGTAACTTTCTGGTCAAAAGTATCTTTTAGATATTTTGGAATATTTCAAAGAATAATCAGTGTGACTTATAAAGATACCAAAAAGCAGATAAAAACAAAAAAATTTTAAGTATATATGGAATACTTCAATTTAGAAAGGTGAAAGTTTCTTTTGGCTAATAAAGAACTAAAGGATCTAGTAGAAAAGGAATTCAATTGGAAATGCAGGGTCTAATTTTAGAAATGTTAAGACTAATTTAAATATAGCAATCTCATGCTTCTGTTAGGATGCACATTTGCATGCAAAATTTTAAAGAAAGACTAACATGCTAGATTTAGTACCGAACTGTTTCTCTTAAAATCTTACTTGCCTACACAGTAATGGAGGCTACAGAAGTCAGCAAAGCTTCCAACACCATAAAAAGTTTAAATCAGCTATTAGTGAAAGTGAAGAGGAAAAAGGAAAAATAAACTAAGAAAATACATTCAGACTCTAGTAAGAAATCCTAAGAACTACAATATGGGTAAATCAGAGATTATCATAGTATTTCTCATCTAACATAATTCAATTTATAGTGAGAATAACAATATGTACGGTAAAATCAGATTTGGAATAATCATTTTAAAAGAACAGTTCTCTTAATTATGTTGAAGAAGTTTACTGATAAATTAGAGGTTCTTGGATTTTGAGTGGTATATTTAAGATTAGGTCAAATCCTTGAATTCTAAAGATATAAGAACGATGCTGATAATAGTACTACCATATCTATTAAAGAGAACTATGTGGAATCACAACACAGATCCTACTAAAGCACTTACTTATTCTGATCTCCTTTATACTATACTTTTACTTAATAATTTAGGTATTTGTTTTTCTAGGATATTATAAAAAGAAACTTGGAAGGGGTAAATAATTGAAAGGAGACATCTCTGACACTGTCTATGTGATTAATAAACCTATAAACCCAAAAATTTACACCTAAAAAGAAATGTAAAGAAATATTTGTACTTTTCTTTTTTGGTACTGAAAATTGATCTTTCGCACTGAGCTACATCCCCAACAACCCTCACCCTTAGTTTATATTTTTGAGATAGGGTCTTGCTAAATTGCGTCAGCCTCCCAGGGTGCTGGGATTACAATTATGCACTACCATGGCCCACAAAAAATGTTTCTCATATATGTCAATAGATGATCTAGATATTCCTAGCTGATTTTTAATGTTCTAAGATAATGCGTAAGGCCTAGAACATAAACCTTGAAAAAAAAACCTTACTCCAATTTCCATAATTTGTAGGCTATAAAGTTACATTTTTCTTAATTTACCTAAGAACATTTTTACTTGGAAATTTTGAGTAAATTTTAAAATACTATAAAGTACTATATTCAAAAGTACTTTATTTTAAAGTCTGCTCACTTAAATGACTGATAATATATTTAGTTATAAGAAGTAAGAAAAATACTGGAGCAAAATATTTTAAAATAAATAACAAGTAAATATATGATGAAATATAAAAACAGATTATTTCAAAAGGTTTTACCCGCATCATTTCATTCTCCAGTTGTTTTTTACGATGTAGACGTTGTTGATGAGATTTGAGGACATTTTCTACATGTTGTTCCATAAAGAATTTAAATGCCTGAGGAGAGTAACTCTGAATACGAGATTCCCTTCGCTCTTCATCTCTCTTGTTTTTTCTAACAGTGATAGGTGAAGTTGTAATCTGCTTCTTTTCTTTATCCCCATTATCAATATTTTCAAAACTTTTCTCATCCTCATCTTCCTTGGGCAAGCTAGACTGATCCTCTTTGCTAGATTTATTTATTGATTCATATGGAGGAACTGGTGGATTCTGGTGTAGCAGATGCTTTGGATAAGGTGGTGGTGGACCTTGATAGGTTGGAGCTTCAGCAACAGGTGGCATAACAGTCATATTTGAAGTGGTACCCTCAGAAAAAGGGCTAGGTTGAACAGTTTGAACTGGCTGTGGTATCCAGGAAGGGTGGGTAGGTGCTAAAGCAGTCTGTAGCTCTGGCTTGAAGACGCGCGTGCTTTTCACAGGTTGTTGAATAGGAGCTGGTGTGATCGCAGTGACTGTTGTAGCTGAAGGTTGAGAATTAGCTGAGTGACTTGTTCTATTTCCTAATGGGTTATTAAAAGAATTTGACCTGACTGGTATGTTAGGTTGCCATGTGGGAATTTCATGTCCGCTGCTTGGGGATGATTGGGCGGGAGCAGAAGATGACTGAGGCCAAGATGTTTGCAGTCCAGGGACATTAATGTTGTAAAGTTCCATGTTATGACTACTTCTGTTTGGCACCATCATAGACTGAGGCACATTTCCATTGGTGTATGATGAAGGCGCGGTAGATCCCCCTGTTTGTAAAGTGGAAGGGCTTTGTCCATTAGCTGGGGTCAGAGGATATGGAGGAGGTGGTTGCCAATTCACAGTGCCAGCAGGGACAACATTTTGGTGTATCATAAAATCAGTCTGACTACCATTCTGAATTCCAGGCCTCCCTGGTGTAAAGTTAAATTTGTTAGAACTCTGCATGATGATTGGTTGTCTGCCAACAGGAACAGAACTAATGCCCCTTTGTCCCTGGTTAGGAGGATTCATGGTGGAAGTGTTAAGAGGAGGTGGAGGATAGCCCTCTTGCCATGCCCCAGGTGGAACAGGAGAGATTCGGGAGATTACATATTCCATGTTCCCAGAATACCGCTTTGTTTGAGAGTTTGATTCCCACGATGGGGGAGGTGGAGTTGTACCTCGTGGAGGGGGAGTCTGGCCTCTTGGAGGAGGTGGTGGAGTGACACTCCTTACTTGAGGAGGTGGGAGGGGGTTTACTCTCTGTCCATTGTTTGGGTGAGCTTGAGCAAATGCTGTTATACCGGATCCAGACAAAGGTCTTCCTACATCTGTTTGTGAGTTGGGACTTTCAGAACGATAGGCTACACTTTCTCCTAGAGGTGGGCCATGTCTCTGAGGAACCAAAGACTCTTTAGAACCTTTCCAGCTTTGTTTGCGGTTAATTGATTGTTGCACACTTCCTATGATCGTAAAAGAGAAAAGTCATTTTTTTAAATCTCTTAGTTTTGAAGAATTTTATCCATTTTGCTACTCCCAAATATTACTCAATACTCTTTTAAGAAATATTAAGAATGGGAATGACAGGCCGAGGATTTAGCTCAGTGGTTCCGCCACCTGCCTTGCAAGCCTAAGTACCCGAATTTGATTCCCATACTCACTCCCCCAAAAAAAATCCCAATGGAAATGACTTCAAGAAATCTGCTTCATAGTGAGGCCCTGTCTCAAAAAGGCAAAAAAAGCCAGGGATTTAGCTCAGTGGTACCACTGCCTGCCTTGCAAGCACAAGGACCTGAGTTCAATCCCCGGTACCAAAAACAAACAAACAATATATATACATATATCAACATGATTTGTTAATAACAATGTATTATATTCTTAAAAATTACTGAGATTTTAAGTGTTCTTACTACAAAAAATACATGAAACAGAGCATATATTAATTAGCTCAATTTTCTTGAAAAAGAAAAAAATTGTAAGATTTCAGTAAATGGTTTTACCTTTTAAATTCTTATTCTTTTGTGTGTGTGTGACAAGGTCTACATAGTTCATCCTGTCCTTGAACTCACTGTGCAGCCCAGGCAGGCCTTGAACTCATGGCAATCTTCCTGCCTCAGACTCCCGAGTACTGGGATTACAGGCATGCCTCACCATGCCTAAAATTTTATTCTTGACTACTAACACTTTCTCACTGCTTAAAATTTACAAGATACAAAATGGCACCTGGTCTGTTTCTCAGCCTACCAATTTAATTCTTTGAAGGTATTCAAAGTTATCAGGGAGTACAAAATTCTATGCAGACATTATTTTGTATGTATGCATGTGCATTTGTAGATAAATTATTAGAGGAGAAACTACTGAGTCAAAGGGTATATTCATTTGTAATTTTGATTGATGTAACTACTAATTTTAATATGGCTTTTAAAACAAGTTAGCAGAGAATAATCAACTGAACACTTAGTAAGGTATAGATTTACGTGAATTTTAATAGAACAAATTTTAGCTTTAATGGAATTTCCAAGTAAATGAAATCAGCAAGAAAAAACACAATACCAAAAAAGGAAGCATTTAAAATGAACAGTCTGGTCACTCGGGAAAAATACATAATACATTAAAAACATAAACTGTTGGGGCCTAGAAAATGCTAGCCTAAAGCTTTGACATGCTGAACCAGAGACAGTCTTAGAATTAAGTCTCAGAATTAAGGTCTCTTTGACCTTCCCCTGCCTTTGTCTCTCTCTGATTACCAATCCTTTCTGAAGCCCTTATCCAAGTAAGGCAGTTCCCTTCCCAGAAGGAATGCAATTGTTAAGAAATATTATTAACCAGAAAGGATTAACCACAGAAGTGACTGAAAAGCAAATTCCACACTTATAGATTCCAGAGGAACTTCATCTGAAGTCTATTCTTGGATTCATTTATCTTCTACAGAAATCATTTACTACTCTTTTGAATTTGCACACCCCCTTTCCTCTTGCCTATGAAGGTAGAAGTATTTAAGTCTTAACAATTTGACCTATTGTTCCTGTACACATAAATTTGTAAGCCTTTGCTCTTGTTAGTATATCTATGGTTGACTAATTTCAGAAGATTTAAAGATGTGAACCTTCAGAGGAGGGCTGGAAGAACTCCTTTCAATGCTACAGTACATTGGTATAAAAAAACCCATAAAATATATATTCCAGAAGGATTAAAGACAAAGCTATAGAAACATTAAAACGAATAAGCCATTCAATAGTTTGGGGGTACCTCTTTTATACCTCTTGGGAGGATCTTCCCAAGCAAGAAAGATGAAAATCTAAATATGTAAAACACCCATCACTATTCAAAACAAAACAAACATCTACAAATGTGAAAGATCACTATCATCATGGGAGAAAATATATATAATGACACATATGAGGAAAAAAAGCAGTAACATTCAGAATGTACAGTTTAACACTGTCGTTCATGTAGGATGGGCAGCTTTTGATTTGTGACTCCTAGGGAAATTACTCTGGGCAAGCCAGACAAGTCCTCTGGCCACCAGGCTCAGGCTTACTTTACTTAGATGGTCAGTGGAGATCATAAATGAAGGACATAATAGTTATCAGTTAAAATGTAAATCTCTACAACCCTGGAGTATATATGGCCATCCCTGTTGTTTTGTGCCTCTGTTCAAGTCCTCTACATTCTTCTATCTTCCAAACTTCTCTGCCACACCTTCCAGACTGCACAACCAGGTAGAGCTTTTCTATCACTGACTTTTATTCCCAGCTTTCCTCTAGAGCATTGACAAAATTCAACACCCATTCATGATTAAAAACCCTGCAAAAAATTGGAATAGACAGTATTTATCTCCACTTAATAAAGGCTATCTATGAAAAACCAACAGCCAACATATTAAATGGCCAAAAACTGAAAACCTTCACGCTAAAATCAGGAACAAGACAAGGTTGTCCAGTATCACCACTCCTGTTCAATATAGTTCTGGCAACAGTAGCCACAGCAATTAGACAAGAGATAGAAATTAAAGCAATAAAGATAGGAAAGGAAGAAGTTAAACTGTCATTATTTGTTGACGATATGATACTCTATATTGAAAACCCCAAAAATTCCACCAAAAGACTTCTAGACTTAATTGACATTTTCAGCAGATAGCTGGATACAAGGTCAATACTCAAAAATCAATAGCCTTTTGTATACAAATAACAGACTCACTGAGAGAGAAATTAGGGAAACAATTCCTTTCACAATAGCATCCAAAAATATGAAGTATCTAGGAATCAATCTAAAAAAAGAAGCAAGAGACCTCTACACAGAAAACTACAGCACTCTGAAAAAAAGAGATCGAAGATATAAGAAAATGGAGAGATATCCCCTGCTCCTGGGTAGGAAGAATCAACATAGGGAAAATGGCCATACTACCAAAACTGCTGTACAGATTCAATGCAATGCCAGTTGAAATTCCAACACTATATTTCACAGAACAAGAAAAAATAATCCAAAAACTCATTTGGAACCATAAGAGACCTAGAATAGCAAAAGACATCCTAGGCAACAGAGACATGGCAGTGGGTATAACAATTCCAAATTTGAAACTACACTACAAAGCCACTATGATAAAAACAGCTGGGTACTGGCAAAGATACAGACCTGAGGATCAGTGGAATAGAATGGAAGATACAGAAACAACTCCAGATGTACTCAGCTCTCTCATCTTTGACAAAGGAGCCACCCATCCTCAGTGGAGGAAAGATAGCCTCTTTAATAAAGGGTGTTGGAAAAACTAGATTTAAACCTGCCAAAGATTAAAACTGGACCCTTATCTTTTGCCATGCACTAAAGTAAAATCCAAGTGGATTAAAGATCTAAATATTTAAAAAGAGACACAAAATCTTCTGGAAGATAAGTTAGGCAGAACTCTGGAAGACATTGGCATAGGAAAAGACTTTATGAACAAATCCTCAGTAGCTCGGGAACTAGAAGTAAGAATCAACAACTGGGATCTCATCTTATTAAAAAGCTTCTGCACTGCAAAAGAAACCAGCAACAGAACTAAGAGACAACCTACACTGTGGGAAAAGAATTTTTCCACCTACTCCTCAGACAAAGGACTATTATCTAGAACATATAAAGAACTAAAAAAAAAATCTGCCCCCCAAATATGAAGACCCAATTCAAAAATGGGCATCTGAAATGAACAGACATTTCTCAAAGAAGTAAAAGCATCAAGTAAATACATGAAAAAATGTTCCACATCACTGGTCATTAAAGAAATGCAGATGAAAACAATACACAAAGAATGGCTGCTATCAAGAAATCAACCAATAAAAAATGTTGGTGGGGTTGTGGGGAGAAAGGAACCCTTCTCCATTGTTGGTGGGAGTGCAGACTGGTGCAACCACTGTGGAAATCAATATGGAGATACCTCAAAGAACTAGGATTAGAGGTTCCATTTGACCCAGCCATCCCTCTGTTGGGTATCTTTCCAAAAGAATTAAAAGAATCATATCACAGTGATAAACGTGCACCCATGTTTATAGCGGCACAGTTTGTAATAGCTAAAACTTGGAAACAGCCCATTTGCCCATCAGTTGGAGACTGGATAAAGAAGATGCGATTTTTCTATAAAATGGAATACTACTCAGCCAAAAAGAATGAGAAATTAGTCATTCATAGGAAAATGGATGCATATTGAGGATATACTCTTAAGTGAAATAAATAAGTCACACGTGTAAATACCGAATAGTTTCTTTGGTGTGAAAAACTATAATTGTTCATAAGATCCTAATGGTATAATTGACAATGTAAAATAGCAAGAAAAGGGCTAAAAGTATAGGGGAAGTGAGAAGGGTAGGAGAAAGAAATAAGGGAAAAGAAAAAAATAAGAGAAAATGAAAAAATGGAAATAAAGTATTTGTAAATAGGAAAGGGAGGAGGGGGTGAAGGAAGGGCAGGGGGTAAAGGGAATAAATGAGGACCAAGACCTGTCATGTAAAGGTACAAGATCTCAATTATGAATGTAACTGTACTGTACATCTAAAATGAACCAATAAACTCAATGAGAAAAAACAAAACAGAACAACAACAAAAAAAACCAACAGGGCCCCAGGGCCTGGGATTTAGCTCAGTGGCACCTCACCTGCCTTGCAAATGCAAGGTCCTGAGTTCGATTTCTGGTACAAAAAAATTTAAACAGGACCAAAAGGCAAGGTTCTACATCTCTGCTCTCCATTTATGATTGTAGATCATTACTTCTTTTATAAAGCTATCTGTTTGCCTGGCATTGCAAAGCCCTGGGTTCAATCTCCAGAATAACAAACAATAAAAGCCAGAGCTTTTGCAGCACATCCTATTTGCAAAGCCAGGTCCATTCCCCTGACCCAATGAACTCCTACTTCCTTTCTCATCTTCCCTAAGGCCTACAACCTCAACATAGCTCCTTGACCCCCTCCCTCCATTCTTAAGTATCACTCTTAAAATCATATTTCAAATTTTGGTATCACTCTTATCTGTTCTTCTTTCATAATGAACAATACAAGGATTATACTCTCCAGTTCCTCTTTTGATTAACCTTACTACAGAAGTTCCTCAACCTGATCAAGAGCTCCAAAATTAATCCCCTACTTCACAGTCCTCTTTATGGAACATTTGATCTAGTATAAATTCATGGTCACCTCTTAATACCCCTATTGCTTTTCTTTTTTCTTTTTTCATGCCTTCACTTCATTCATTATTTATTGAGCATCTACTATATACCAGAGCCTCCTCTAAGCAATCCAAATACATTGGTGAACATAATGCCCTTGGACCCAGGTAACCTCTATTCACAGGGGAGGACACAGAAAATAAACAAGTGAATAAACAAAGTAATTTCAAAGCATAATAAATTCTTTATATAAAACATAAATGGGGGAGAGGGAGAGAGAGAGTGAGGGAGGGAGAGAGAGAGGGAAAGAGGGAGAGAGGGAGGGAGGGAAGGAGTGGGGGAGAGAGGGAGGAAGGGGTGAAAGGAGAGGGAGAGAGAGGGAGAGGAAGTGGAAGAGGGAGAAAGAGGGAGAGGGAGAGGGAGAAAGGGAGAGGGAGAGAGGGATGGAGAGGGAGAGAGGGAGGGAGGGAGAGAGGGAAAGGGAGAGAGGGAGAGATAGAGAGAAAGAGAGAACGGAATGAAGTCCAGTAGACAGAAAAGGCTCCTCTGGGAGAAGACTAGGTAATGGTTCTGAGGTGGGAGCTTGGTATTTTCCAAAAACAAAAAGAAGCCCAAGGGCCCAGGGTTTAGCTCATGGTTCCGCCACCTGTCTCACAAGTTCAAGGACCCAAGTTCGATCCCTGGTACCAAAAAAAAAGAAGCAGCAGCCTGAGCTGGGCATAGTGGGGGTATGACAATACATATTTATAACCCCAGAACTTGGAAGGCTGAGGCAGGAAGATTGCAAGTTCAAAGCTGGGCTGGGCTATACGGCAAGTTCAAGGATAACCTGGACTGTAAAGCAAGGCTCTGTCTCAAAAAGAAAAACGAAAAGGGGCTGGGGATTTAGCTCAGCGTTGCTGCCTGCCTCACAAGCACAAGGTCCCAAGTTCCATCCCTGGTACAAAAACAAAAAAAGAAGAAACAAGTATGTCCAGAGAGCAATAAATGAGGGGAAGAGAATACTAGATAGAGTCTGTGAGGTAGCCAGGTCATGGAGAGAACTTATGGAAGGAATGAGTAGCCACTAAAGGTAGAAGAAGAAGAATATGCTCTAAAGAAGGATTTCAACTACATTTTTAGTATTATTATCTAATTTATTGCACACTTGTTTAATAAAACTCTGGTCATGGGAAATTCCAGATATCTCTCGCCCCTTTTTTAAACCACATCTACCACAAAAGATGATGTAACAGGTAAGTTGATTCTACTATAAATTCATGACCAGCATCTTCAAATGACATCAGCACTACCTGGAAATCCTACTGTTTCTTTAGTCCCCACTGTTGCCATTCTTGGTCTCCTCAAATTGCTTGGCCAGCTTATCAGCCACAACTCTTAGCAGATATGGTTTTCTATTTCAGAGAAAAGACATCAAAAAGTAACTTCTTGAGCTAACTTATCTACCTCGGCCTGTCTGCTCCTATTATGGCTGCTCCTGTCTCCAGTAAAGCTACCAATCTTTCATCCTATGCTTTGGATCTTGTCTCCTTCTTTACTTGAACAGTCCTTCTTGTATATATAATTTCATCCTCTTAACTAGAGTCATCCAATCATCTTCTAAACAAATATAAGTCTTTTCTATCAAAAAAATAATAAGACTCCTCTTCCATTCCTATTCAGGCCTCTTATCTCAAAGTGTTACCTGGTGCTGATGTAAAAACTGATACTGGCCTCCTATGAGTTAAGTGGTAAGTGTAGAAGTTGAGAGAAGTGAGGAATTTTACAGATTAAAAAAAAGTTTTTGTTTTTGTTTTGGCAGTGCTGGGGTTTGAATCCAAGACCTTACAAATACCATTAAACCACCTCCACCCTTTCTGGTGTCTTAAAACAAGATCTTGCTATATAGTTCAGTCTGGTCTTGAACTTACTATGTAACCCAGGGTGGCCTCAAACTTGAAGTGATACTCCGGCCTCAGTGTTGAAATTAAAAGCATGCACAATCATGCCCAGCCCTATCCCTTTCTAATTTTTATGTACTTTGAAATAGGGTCTTGTTAAATTGTCCAAGCTGGTCTTGCAATTCTCCAGTCTCAGCCTTATGAGTAGCTGAGATTACAGGCTGGCACTACCATACCTCGCTTTTTACAAAATTTGACAAAGTAATCAGATGTCTGTTAAATCTAATAATAAAATATTTGCACTTTACTTTATATGCCACTTTTATTTCTTTGTGGCATCAAAACCTGAGAAGGAGCCATGTGTAAGTGCCTCACTAGAACCGTCCGTCCCTATAAAACCTTGTCATTCTTCAGATAACAGGTGTTTTTCAGGAAGGTCTTCTGTTCTTGATTAGATCAAGATTCCGCTCTACAGGAGTTCACAGTACCATGCAATTTGCCACTACTCATTCACACTTAGCCATAATTCTATGTATGTTTGTTAAATTTATTTGAATTCTTATTACCAGAATGTAAACTCTACAAAAGGGCAGAACTTACTCAATGTCAGGCAAAGGGCCTGAAACAGCAGCTGATTGATAAAAATGTATTGAATAAAGGCCGGGGATTTAGCTCAGTGGTTCGGTGGCCTGCCTTGCAAGCCCAAGGACCCGAGTTCAATCCCCGGTACCCAAAAAAACAAACAAACAAACAAACAAAAATGTATTGAATAAAAGAATAAAGACCTCTTATAAGTCAATAAACAAATACAAGATTAACAAGACATAAAATGGCAATTTAAAAATAACCAGCAGAGGTGTAGTTCAGTGGTAGATCATGTCTTATCACCACATGCAAGGCCTTGATTTCAATACCCAGCAACAAACAAAGAAAACTGTGCCAGGTGGTACATGCCTATAATCTCAGGAAGCTGAGGCAGGAGGATTGCAAATCCAAAGCCCAGCCTAGGCAACTCAGGAAAAGAATGACTCAAAATAAAAAATAAATATGACTGGGGATGTGGCTCAGTGTTCCTTAGGTTGAATCCCTAATAATGCAAACAAAACAAAACAGAAAATAACCATTAAATGTTCATTGGTGATCAAAGAAATGTAAATGTAAATGAGACAATATTACCAATTAAATAGACGAAAATAATACACAGTACTAGCTTTATAAGTATTTGGCATTCTTACTGTCAACAGATAGGGAAAATAAAAGTTGGTACAACTTGTTTTTGAGGGGTGGGTACTGGCAATTGAGCCCAGGGCTCCATACTGAGCTACATCCCAACCCCTCCCCACTGTTTTGAGGCAGGTTCTTGGTAAGTCATTAAATCACCCAGGATGGGCTTGAATTTGTAATCCTCCTATTTCAACCTTCCAGAGTGTTGGGATTACAGGTGTGGACACCATGCCTGACTTACTTGGTATCATATTTCTAGATAGCAATATCTATGGGAAACTAAATACTTTGCAAATATTTAAAATTTATTTTTAGAAAAAATAAAAAATTATTTTTAGAAAATCATTAGATATATACGAAAGATTTAGGTATACAGGTCAAAAACAAAAACAAAATAAAAATGGGAGATTAGTTAAATAATGTATGTGGAATTATTAAAATCATTTTGTAGGGCTGGGGATAAATCCAGCTCACAGGTAAAGCATATGCTTAGCTTGTGCAAGGCCATAAGTTCAATCCACAGCATCATACACATAAAAAACACTAAAATAAAAATTTGTAGGGCTGGGGATTTAGCTCAGTGGTTCCGGCACCTGCTTCACAAGTGTGAGGACCTGAGTTCGATTCCCAGAACCAAAAAAAAAAAAACCTTGTAGAACATTTAGAAAATAAAATACATACAGTTTATCAACTGAACAGGTAGGATTTGGTATGATACCATTTTTTGGCCTGAACAAAAATCAAAATATGGGCTGGCAATTTAGCTCAGTGGTTCCACTGCTTGCCTTGCAAGCACAAGGTCCTGAATTCAATCCCTGGTACCAAAAAAAAAGAATCAAAATATACAATCTTACTCAGGTTTCTCATGGGAAAAAAGGATAGGAAGCAACACAACAAAATATGGTGATTAACAATGGCCAGGCATAGTGGCATTTGCCTATAATCCCAGCACTCTGGGAGGCAGAGACAGGAAGATTGCAAGTTTGAGCCCAATCTAGACAATTTAGTGACCCTGCAAGAGATCTTGTCCCAAAATTTAAAAATCTTTAAAAAGGGGGTTATGGAGAAAAAATGAGAACCAAGATCTGTCATGTAAAACTATATGATCCCAAGGGTGAATGTAACTGTCCTATATACCTAAAAAGTACTAATAAACTCAATGAAAAAAAAAATTTTTTTAAAGGGATGGATGTAGCTTAGTGTGAAGGCCCTGAGTTGTTCAATCCCCAGGAACTACACACACACACACACACACACACACACACACACCACATTTTCTTCTGCTTACCTGTTGTCTAAATATTCTATGATGAATGCATTTTACTCTTAAAATATATAAAACAACAACAACAAAACCCACAAGAGTTTGAATGATGGTACTGGGGGGTAAAAAAGATGTGTTACAGCTACAATACAACCAATCAAGTAGTTCTCAACCTAAAGTGCTGCTTATCAAAATTACCTATTAACTTTTTTTTTTTTTTTTTTTGGTACTGGGGATCGAACCCATTAACTTTTAAATGTGAAGGTCCCATATTCAAATTTATTTTAGTATAACACTGTAACAGTATGATCTTAATTTGAGACTTTCAATTAACTGGGATGCTTTTAACAATTTCTAAGACCAAAGATTTGATATAATTGTTATAAAACTATACCATAAAATAGGCTAAAAAAAATGCTTGATTAATCACCTGGCTTCATGCTGGCATTGATAGGTCTGGCAGCTGCTGTAGCCATCTGCTCCCGCCGAGGGTCTTGGTAACTCATTTTACTAATGAATTCAATTGCTGCTTCTATACTCCTATTATTAGTTTTCTGCAGAGCCTGTATAACCATATCCTGATGAGAAGTTAAAAAAAAAAAAACAAAATTTAAATCTTGTAATAGGCAAGAACAATGTAAATTCTATCAGAGGAATTCATAGTTATGATCCTTAATCCACAATATTAATATCCTACTTGTAACTACTAAAAATAAGAGCACTATCACAACAAAAACAAATCTCAAATTACTACAGTAAACAAAATCAATCCTTAAATATTTCTTTAATATTTTCAGCTTTATTTAACATAATTTTTCCTTCTAGGATTTTCTTTGGGGTACAGTCACAGCAATAAAATTGATTACTTCTTGTTTTTAATTTCATTCTTATATAAACAGAGACTACCAGATTGTATAAAGTTATCAATCAAAATTTTGGAAAACACTTTTTTGTATCATTAAAGCATTTTATGAAGCACTTTTGCCACTTTTATGTATACTAGTAAAAGAACAATGTAGTTCTATTTTTTCCTCTTACAGTTTACATTTTCAGGAAACTGAAATGTATTTACAGGGACACAATACAGGACAAAATGGTAGAAGAAAACAGATATAATTATGTGATGAAAACTTTAGGTAGTTAGATGGTCATAATGGAAGATACAAGATTTGGAATCAGTCTAATTTGAGGATGAGAAGCTCCATTTTAGAATTGTGTGGACTCTCATGTTATTTAACATTTCAGATCTTCAGTTTCTTCAACTGTAATAAACTTTGAGGGCTGATGTCAGGATTAAATAAGAAAACATGGAAAGCACCTAAGTGCAGTGTCTATAGATCAAATATTGGGTGCCTTCTTCACTCCTTGTCCTTTATGTTAACTGTAAACATAATTTATAAACTAACATGCATAAAGGGGCCAGGGATTTAGCTCAGTGGTTCCACCGTCTGCCTTGCAAGCGCAGGGACCCAAGTTCAATCCACGGTACCAAAAAAGGTGGCGGGGGGGGGGCAAAACTAACATGCATAAAGTATTCCGGTGTGCATTTACCAAGAAGAGGACAATTACTTACTTGTTCTAGAGGACAAAGTATTTCAAATGACATTCTAAAATGTCATTATGGCTTAAAAAGACCAACGGGTGAATAGGCTACTAACAGATGATTATCCTACTGGAAATGAAAGTGAGACCATAGAAAGGTTGTGGTAGAGCCAAGGATGAGCCATGTCTACAATCCCAGCTACTCTGCAGACTAAAGCAGACATTTGAAGCCAGTCTGGGCAACCTATCAAGACCCTGTCTCAAAATAAAATGGATAGAGTGTTTGCCCAGCATTTAAGAAGCATTTAGGTTCAATCCTCAGTACAACAACAAAAATAAAGCTATGATAGAAACCCATTCCCTACCCAAGATATGTAAGATTCATTATCATTTTCTTGAAAAAGTTACTGATCTTGTTGGAAGAAGCATGGTTTCTGAATAAATTTGCTATTTCAGATTTAGGTACTGGGCCTTTGTGCATCCTGTGCGCTGGAGTATGCTGAAGTGAAATTCAAGAGGTATCTCCTGAGAGTCCTAGGCTCTGACATCTTTAAGAGGGCAAGCCAATGATAACTACTTAAACTGAATCACTATCTTGTTTAAAGTATTATTTGTAGTTTTGTTAAAAACAAATAGGGCCGGGGATTTAGCTCAGTGGTTCTGCCACCTGCCTCACAAGCACAAGGTCCTGAGTTTGAGCCCCAGTACTAAAAAAAAAAAAAAAAAAAAAAAAACTCACTGAAGCAAAGGTAATGTGGTCATATTTTATGCCAATTAGACTGTAAATTTGCAATGAGTTACAAACAAATTAAAAACTCTCATTGTATATGCAAATTTAAAATAAAACAAATTACCTAAAATTAAAATTCATCTCTGAGGGCAGGGATTTAGCTCAGTGGTTCCACCACCTGCATTGCAAGTGTGCAAGGTCCCAAGTTAGATCCCCAGTACCAAAAAAATATATATATTGTGAAAATTTATCTCTGAGTACTTAATTTTAAATCTGGTTAAGCCAAGTGAACCAATAACTATGCTATTATCTATCACATGTCAGTGCTACCTCAGCTGGCAAGAAAATTGGCACTCACCCTACTATTCTTTTTCAGTATGGAAATCATTCTTGTTAAATTTTAACCTGGAAGTTTGGTGATTATTATGGTGGCTTTTTAAAAAATTTTGACTGCTATGTTTTAAAATATATTATGTATCTATAATACCAACCAAGTATTCATTAAATGACAGTGTTAGTGTGAAAAAGAACACTCTCAAACCAGTAACTTTTGGATATAAGTCTTATGTGATAGAAAATATTAGGTATACCTAATTACAACTGTTTCTAGGTAAAAATACACTCCAGTGATTGTGTATTTACTTCTTTTTCCCCTTTTTTTCTTATTTTTGTGGTACTGGGCAACGAACCCAGGAGCACTGTGCCACTGACCTAAACATCTATCCCTTTTTATTTATTTTGAGATACAGTCTTGTTAAGTTGCCCAGGCTTGCAATGAAATCAGGATCCTCCTGCCTCAGCCTCCCAAGTAGCTGAGATTATGGACATGTGCCACTGCACCCAGTGACTGTATATCAATGTATTTCAAGAATGTATTGCTGCTTGGGCTGAAGATTTAGCTCAGTGGCACAGTGACTGTCTGGCAAGCACAAGGTCCTGAGTTTGATTCCCAGTACGGGGTGAGGGAGGGATGTATCATTGCTATTTGACATTTAATCTTTTTTTGTTTGGTTGGGTTGTTTTTTATTTTTTTGGTCCTGGGGATTGAACTCAGGACCTTGCACTTGTAAGGCAGGCAGCAGCACCACTGAGCTAAATCCTCAGCCCTTTCTTGTTTGTTCTTGAGACAGGGTCTGCTACGCAGCCCAAACTGTATAGCAAACTGGCCTCAAACTCATGGCAATCCTCCTGCCTCAGCCTCCCAGAGTTCTGGGGTTATAGGCATGTGCCACCATGCCAGTTCTTATATTTAATCTTAGAAAGAAATTAATCTAGAAATATTTGAGCTTTTAATTCTACAGAGTCACCAGAAACATTCTCAAGTGAGAAAAAGCAACTGTCTTGAACCTGGTAATGCTCATAAAAGAAGTATGTCAGAGTTTATGAAATAGTAAAAAGAATGAGGTGAAAACTGGGTAAAATTTTTGAAATATCAAATTAGGCTCTTGATGATCTACCATATAATAGGAAACTACAGAGTAAGTGAATCAAGGAGAATGCAGAAGCACATTGCCATTCCCTTTATATCACTATTAGTATAAATAATACTGTACCATCACTATTTAGACAAATGAGAAGCAATAAATATCTAAGCACTTTCAATGAAGCAACATTGCTCAAAGGTTATTAGTGTCATGAAGCAACAATTTTGAGATGTGTGATTGGACTAAAGCTAACATATCTTTGTAATAAAAAGACATTATTTTTTATTACTGCCAATAAATAAAAAATAGGACATTAGCGCTAGGGATATTTCTCAGTGGTAGAATGCCTGCCTAGCATGTGTAAGGTTCTACCAGAGTCAATCCCCAGTACTGCACACACAAAGAAAAAGAAGAAGAAGAGTGAGAAGACATTAAACAATTAGATTTCTTAAAACTATGTACATCACAAAGAGCTTTTAAGTCCCTTAAAGAAATGGACCATGTCTGCTATGACTTATCCTGACTGGTTCACGTGTCTATGGTGTGACTTATCTGACATATTAGCAACTAGTGGCCATTAGACCTGTGTAATTTAATAAACTCTCTTCCCTTAACAATGCATAAAAGGAGAACCAGGCGTAATGGTGCATGCCTGTAATCCCAGCACTCGGGAGGCTGAGGCAGGAGGATCTCTGTGAATTCGAGACCAGCCTGGCCTATATAGTGAGTTCCAGGTCAGTCTCAACTACATAGTGAGACTCTGTCTCAAAAAAAAAAAAAAAAAATGGAAAGAGTAACATCAGTGATCTCTTTATCTTTTGCCTTTTGGCTAAGTAGGAGAAAAGTGCTCTGGAGACTCTCTATTCCAGCCATTTTCTTAATCCTATACAAAACTATTCTAAGTCCTTTTTCTTCTCCCTCTCTCTAATTTCTGGTACAAATTCAGTATTTTTAGAGCATATAATTATAAAAATTATAGGAAATAATTTTAATCAAATAGATAACTAGAATGAGCTGTAAAGAATAACCTTTTCTCTTCCTAGCTTAGCTGTAAATAAATAAATTAATTAATTTATTTATTTATTTATTTATTTATTTATGGTACTGGGAATGAACTCAGGACCTTATGCTTGTGAGGCAGGCAGCAGAATTACTGAACTAAATCCCCAGCCCTGTATTTCTTTAAAAATCTTATAACTCAGACTTAGGTTCTCATTATTAAAATTACAACAGCACCAGATAACAATGTTTCCATTAATAACACTATAAATACAACAAAACAGTGGTTCCATATAGCCTAGAAGTGCAGCAGGCTATACCAGCTAGGATTCTGAGTACACAATATGACAGTCACACAATGAGAAAATTGCCTGATAGTTCTCCCTTCATTGATTAATGTATGCTGTAGAGCAATATCTAGAAATGTGGTCACCAAAATATTAATGATAAAAGAATTTTAAGAGTAGTTGTCTTTGTATAATAGAACTAATGGTAATTTTACATTTCCTATTTTATAATTTTTGTTTTTGTTTTTTGAGACTATAGTGCAAGCTGGCCTTAAACTCACTGAGTAGGGCCGGGAATTTAGCTCAGTGGTTCCGCTTCCTGCCTCACAAGCGCAAGGACTTGAGTTCGATCCCCGGTATCAAAAACAAATAAGCAAACAAACAAAAAAAAACAAAACCTTACTGTGCAGTCCAGGCTGGCCTCAAACCCAGGATGACCCTCTTGAGTGCTGGGATTATAGGTGTGCATCACTACGCTTTTATTTTCAAAATTTTCATTCAAAGTATAAGTAAACTGAAGAGCAAAGTAAAAGATAATAGGAAACAGGGACATAATATTTTGCAAACAGGAAGAGAACCAAAAGATGAAGAGAAAAGGAAGGGAAGTAAAAAGAAGTAAGATGTGTTAAGTACATGTACTAACTCTCCATGATGAATATAATCATTATGTGCTAAAAGCATAAACTAATAAAAATAAAATTTTAATTTTTTCATTTTCCATAAATGATTTTTATCTAAAAAGATTTCTGCCATCTAAAATATTCACTCACAAGATACATTATACTAAGCAAATTTTATTATTAACCTAAACAAAATATGATTAAATAAATGTGCTATAAAGTCTTCAAAATGAGACTGGGCACAATGTCATACATATGTAGGCCCAGCTACTGAGGAGGCTGAAAACAAAAATCATGATGCCAGCCTGGGCAACAGAACAAGACCTCATCTCAAAAAACAAAAGAAAACTTTTCCTCTAGTGTAAACTTATACTTCATATCCTTGGAGCTATCATTTCTCCAGCAGCCACTGAACTCGGCGAGCTCAGTTTCACAGATGTCCTTCCCTACCCTACCTGTGGCTTTCTTCAATTGCACTGCCACTGACTTCATGAACTGATCTTTTAAAATTCTAGAAACTCCAAATTAAGTTACAGACAGCAAAGAAGAAACTAAAGAAATAATTATTTTGTTATAATAATTGACTGAAATGTGAACATTCTTTTGTTTGTTTGTTTGTTTTTGGTTTTTTGAGACAGGGTCTCACTATGTAGTTGAGACTGACCTGGAACTCACTATGTAGCCCAGGCTGGTCTGATCCTCCTGCCTCAGCCTCCTGAGTGCTGGGATTATAGGCATGTGTCACCACACCCACCTTGAAATGTGAACATTTTTTGTTGATGGAATATACAAATTTGTACACATAAGTTCTTGGGAGGATAAGCTCACTTAGAAAAGTGCTATTAACAGTACAAAGTAAGAAGAACAAAAGTTCTTACCTCATCAAATCCAGCAGCCTGCAAATCTTGAAACATCTGTGGATTAACTTCTGAAGTACTCCTGGAGGAAGAACTTGTTTCATTTGCAAATGGTAGTAAAGAGTTTCGAATTTCTTGCAAGGCTTTATGATATGTCCCAAATTTGGGTGGATTTCTCATTTGTCGAGCATCTTCAGTTGACATTTTGGTCATATTATACTCAGCCTTAGCAGCATCAGATGGTTTGGATAAATTCCTAAGGGATTCCCGAATTTCTTGCAACATTTGCCGGCTGCTGCCAGTGTAATTACTGGCAGGAAAGGTCTTAGGCCTCATTTGTCTATATCCTTCTGGCTTTTCACTCCTCTTCATGAAAACATCTATATATGTAACCCACAAAAATGACTTCTTTATGAGCTAGCTGACAGATTCAAAGCTTTCTCTTGAACAAAAGTGAAAATAATTCTTTGACGAAGTCTTCTGGAACATTAAAATCTCTAATAATCTAAATAACCCTGTAAAAGAAAAAATAATTAACAACTATAATTCATAAAGCAGTACAATGGACTTCACTGATACAGGAGTGAAGATATCCAGCTTATATTTTTGGCATTAAGGATATACTATAGGACCAGAACAAGATACTTGTCCTCTCTGTGTCTATTTTCTAGTCTATAAAATAATTTACCTTATTTGCCTCAAGCAGTACAGGCATTCTTTGATCAATAACTGAGTCCAGTTTCTGTGACCAGGTTGTTAAATGAATTGGTCACTAAATGAAGGATTGTATGTAGTATGTACATTACAACATTCAGAACAAAGAAATGGTCAAAGGAAACTCCAACTTGATGATTTTGCATTTATTTGTGTAACGCATTCAGTACTGTAATGTGTAATAACATAAAGCTATAGTACTGTACTGTAGAGTACAATCAACAAAAATTACAGTACTATATAAACAAGGTATACTGTGCTGTACCAAAAACAAAAAAAAAAGACAATGAGGTTCTATAAATAAGATGCACAGAACTATACCAAAAAAGACATGTCATAAGTCTGAGTGGCTGGCCATAAATCTAAAATGTGCTTACTAAATCTGAACAGTTGGTACACAGGTAGGTCATAAAACAAGGAATTCTGTAGTTATGATAAAAATAATAATTTTAAGAGTGCTTTAGTGCTGGGATGGTGGCACACACCTGTAACCAATCCAAGCACTCGGGGAGGCTGAGGCAGGAGGACCACAAATTCCATCACAGCCTGGGCAACTTGCTAAGTCTGTGAAACCCTGCCTCAAAATAAAAAAATTAAAAAGGGATACAGCTCAGTGCAAAGGCCCTGGGTTCAATCTCCAGTATTGTAAAAGAAAACAGAGTGAAACAAAACACAAAATGTGTGTTAATAAGTATATAAAGCATATTAAAGTGCAGATGATTACTATGTGAATAAAACAATAGACAACCTGTCATTACCAACTTCACCTAAAGGCTCCAATTTTATTTTTTTAATTTTAATTTTTTTTTGTACCAGGGATCAAGCTCAGGTCCTTGCGCTTGTGAATCAGGTGGCAGAACCAGTGACCTAAATCCCCGCCCTTTTTAATTTTAATTTTAATTTTAGTGGTACCAGGGATTGAACTCAGGCCCTTGTGCTTAAGAGGCAGGTGGCTGCACCACTGAGCTAAATCAGGCCTAAAGGCTCCAATTTTAAATTTTATAAATTAGACTTCAGTACAGGATTTCTTTAGATGAAAGATATTGCTACTTTAAGGAAGTGTTTAAACCACTAGTCTAGATCTTACTCTTCAAAGAGGTGCTGGGAGGTCAGGGATTTAGCTCAGTGGTTCTGCTGCCTGCCTCGCAAGCACAAGGACCCGAATGTGATTCCCAGTATCAAACAAAAAAAATGAGGTGCTTGGGTTTATTTCCTAAACTGCAGAATGGAACTATACAGACAATAAGTTTATTATCAACAATGGAATAGGGAAAGGCTCTCTGAGGTCAACTTGCCTTATTCCTCACTTACACAAATAACTTCTATAACACACTGGAAGAACAGTCACCTAAGGTTTAATGTCCTCATTGACAGGAAAAATTATAAACCCAAAAAAGCCATTTTGGAGCCAGGGATTTAGCTCAGTGGTGCTGTGCCTGCCTTGCAAGTGCAAGGTCCTGAGTTTGATCACTGGCACCAAAAGAAAAAAAAATTCCATTTGTGACCTGTAATAATAAAAGTATTTTCTTCATGTGAAGCAACATGAAATTTCACCCAGTGTCTACTGATAGCCTGTTATTGGTCAGTGCTAAACAATTTTGCCTATCTTATCTAACTATTCTAATAACTCTGAGAGGTAGGCTGGCTGTTTCTACCTTATAAATGAAGAAACTAAAGTTTACAGAGTTTGGGCAAAAGAGTATGTAAGTGGTATTGCTAAGATTTGAAACAATTATCTAATGAGAGCCTACTTCTAGCCTCATTAAATAATTAACATTCATGTTACATAAAGACATCTATAATTAGATATGGCAATATTTCTATTATATAGCTTTCTACCCTATGCTATTTCCTCACAGAACCTTTCCTTGGTCACTTGATAACTCTGCTTTAAGGATTCTTTTTTTTTTTTTTTTTTATTGAGTTTATTGTAAGGATTCTTTTTTTAATTAAAGATTTTTGTGACTGGGCCACACTATGTAGTCTAGGCTGACCTGGAAATAACTTTCTTTCCTTCTTTCCTTCTTTTGTTCTTTTGCTTTCTTCCTTTCCTTCTTCCTCTCTTTCGTTCTTTCTCTTTTACCCTCCCCTCTTTCTTGTTCTCTTTCTTTCCCAGACCTTGTGCTTGCCAGTCAGGAGCTAAATCCCTGGCCCTTGCCTGGAACTCTTGATCTTTCTACTTCAGCCTCCTCAGTGCTAGGATTCCAGGCATATAAAAAAAGTTATCTATGTAAAAACTGCCTTTTAACCAATCTTTATAAATTATATCATAACAGAGCTGTTAAATGTATCTTTAAATTCTTAATAATTTATATTTTGGAAATTATATCCCCACATATACAACAGGATTCAGCCCTTACCAGATCAATAGAAGTACAGTTTCTTGATAACTTCATCTCATTAGTAAATACTTTTGTGGTATAATTGCCAAATTAGTTATGACTCATTAAAGTGTAAGCAGCCCACATTTCCCCATTTTGTAAAAAAAACTTTACCTATGTCTTGTTGAAAATTAAAATTATGCATGGTCTCTCTACAATGTAACCCAATCTAGTAACAATTTTTTATTATTATTTCAGCAATGAAATCATGACATACTTCGTCATGAAAGAGGCTGGTTGCTAATAATAAATATTTTCTAAGCCTCCCTAAAATATTCATATTTAATACCTTCCAATGAATCTTTCTAGGCTTAACATTTTTTCACTATCTAAAGTTTGCAGGCCTTTGGCCTTTTCTGAAAATGAAGATATTTTTCACATCTTGTGGAGCTTACCATTTCTCCACAAAGATTAACAGTGGTTGGGCAAAGGATTTAGCTCAGTGGTTCTACCGCCTGCTTCACAAGCACAAGTCCAATCCCCGGTACCAAAAACTATAAAAAGTTTAAAAAATAATAGTGGCTGTGTAGTCTCACATGTCAATTCATTCAGTATCTGGATTGCAATTCATTTTCAGCATCTAGGATTATTTTAATATTTCACTTGCTGGGTATATCAGTTAGCTTTCCCATTTGCTGGATACAATACCTGACACCCACAACCAATTTTGAGGAGAAATTTATTTTGGCTCAGTCAGTTGGCTCCAAGGCAGAAACCTCATGGTGGTAGGGCATGGTACAGCAGAGTTGCTTAGTTCAAGCAGAGCAGGAGAACAGCATGACTCACCCAGACACATCCAGTGTTCTTTACAATTCCCAGGCTGGCTTCCAAGACAATCAAGTTGACCCAGTGAAGCACAACTACTACATATATAAATTCATAATTTACCTCCCTCTACAGAGAATCACTGTGAAGTAGCCTGAATAATAATCTTTCAAAAGATGCCACTTTTTTTGAGACTGAGTCTCACAAATTTGTGGCAATCTTCATGCCACAAGGATACCATCTTTTAATTCCTACAGTTGTTTTTTTTTTTTTTTGGTACCGGGGATTGAACTTAGGTCTTTGCACTTGCAAGGCAGGCCACCAAACCGCTGAGCTAAATCCCCGGCCCTACAATTGTTAATACTACTTTTTTTGGGGGGGACTGGGGATTGAACGTGGGTCCTTGTGCTTGCGAGGCAGGTGGCGGCGGAACCACTGAGCTAAATCCCCGGCCAGTATTACTTTAATTGGAAAAAGGAAGTATGATTACATTAAAGATCTTAGTGAGGGCTAGGGCAATTGAAAAAAAGTTAAGGAACTTGTTATGGAGAGATTATCACGGATCACCCAGATGAGCCCTACATGCAATCCTTATGAGAAACAGAAAGAAATCTGATTCAGGGGAAAACATTATAAAGGAGGCAGAGGGCTAAGGATTTAGCTCAGTGGCACCATGCCTACCTCGCAAATACAGGTTGTGAGTTTGATTCCTGGTACCAAATAAAGGAGGCAGAGACTGGAGTGATATGGCTACAAGCCAAGGAATGCAGGCAGACAAAAGAAGCAGGAAGTGGCAAGGATGGTCTTCTCTCCTACATCTTCCAAAGGGAGAGCAGCCTTATTAGAACCATGATTTTGAATTTCTGGCCTACAGAACTATAAGAGAACAAATTTACATTGTTTTATGCCACCAAGTTTATAGTGATTTGTTACATAAACCATAGGAAACTAACAGAATCATTATTAATATTGCATATTCTATTATTATATACTACTAATAAAAATGGAATACACAAAATATGACATCTCATTCTTTTACATTAATATTGGCATTTACAAGAGAATGTAGTTTTCCAAATTAGCATTAATTCAACTTTTTTCCCTAGAGCATTTTGAGTCATTTTCTACAGAATAAACTTAAGAAAATATAGACTAGATTGATTCATTCTAGTCCTCTACTGTGTAACACTCTACCTTAATGACATAATTCCTAATATTCCTACCATCCTAACATTCCTAACAATGATCACAGAAATGATTGAGCTTATGGTATATGTGTAATAAGTTGTAAATAGTACATCTTTCAACCTTATCTTCTGTGTACATGATAAAATATTTGTGAATAAAATGTCTGGAGCCGGGCGTGGTGGCGCATACCTGCAATCCCAGCATTCGGGAGGCTGAGGCAGGAGGATCGCTGTGAGTTCGAGATCAGTATGGGCTACACAGTGAGTTCCAGGTCAGTCTCAACTACACAGTGAGACCCTGTCTCAAAAAAAACAACAACAACAAAAAAATATATATAAAGTCTGTAATTTCAAAATAATTTGGTTTTGTGCTGAAGTGGATAGTGATATAGATAAGACAAAGGCTGCCATATGTTAAAGACTGTTTATAGCTGCATAACAGACTTCTGAGGGTTCATCACATCCTTCTGCGTATAGGCGAACTTTTCCAAAATAGAAAATTAAAAAAGAAAATGTCAAAGAGCTCTGGATCATGGAATAGGTCTGTTACAAACTCTTATTGAAATATAAAATATAGTGCTTTGGAATGTAGCTCAGTGGTAACAGTTTTTGCCTACCATATGCAATGCCCTCAGTTTGATCTCTGGCACTGCCAAGAAATGCAAAATACATTTAAAACACACAGAATTGGGCCAGGGATTTAGATCAGTGGTTCCGTTGCCTGCCTTGCAAGTTGAAGGTCCTGAGTTTGATCTCCACTACCAAAAATAACCAAAAAACAAAACAAAACACCAGAGAATTTCTTTAAAGAAACCACTAATTCCATGAAACAATATCACTTTGACATTAGCTCTTCAGAAGTAGGGAAAAAGAAGAGGAAGCAAAAAGAAGTAAGATGTGTTATGTACATGTACTAATTTTCCTCGATGAATGTAATCATGTACTACAAATATGTACTGATAAAAAAAGTCCATTAGCTTTTCGGGGGCAGTAACAGAAACATTACATTTAAACATTTCAGCTATAAGATGAAATGCATTTAGAAATGCAGATTTCAGAAATGCTGGAGTGGAGGAATGACAAACTGACTTCAGAAATGCTTGGAGTAAACCAGGCATGCTGGTACACACCTATATTTCCAACATTTAGGAGGTTGAGGCAGGAAGATCGCCACAAGTTTGAGGCCAGCCTGGGGTACATAGTGAGTTTAAGTCCAGCCTGAAGGACATAACAAGACCCTGTCTCAAAAAACAAAAAACAAAACAAAAAAATGCCAGAGTGGAGAAATTAAGAGTGTATCTTTATCAATTGCTTTTGATAAATGCATTGTGACAAAGACTATATTAATATACTTCTCTCTGTTTCTCAGATTAGCTTTGACCAAAGCCCCATGAGCGAATATGATATGTCTCAAATGTGAGTTGAGGCACTTAAAGGCAGTAAATTTATCTAACTTCTGCTTCAGTGACCATGCAGTAGTTTCACAAAATGAAGGAAATACAGATTGCTAAACCACTGGGTGTAAAGTCCCTATTGAAGTCTCCCCTAGTTAGTTATGCCACTGATATTTTTGGACTTGTTACTGTAAAACAGCATTATTAACATTAGGGAAATAGACAAAGACTCCCCAAATAAGAGCAAGCAGAAACTATTTATTCAGAGCTTGCTGCAAAAAGGGAGTCAGCCATTACCAATGTTCTTAACTAAAACTCAAAGATGGAGGAGTGGGAAAGCTTTGGAAAAGGAAAGACTTCGGTGTGCTTATTTAGGCTGCTGGCCATGGGAAGCTGGACAGGGCTAACTATACAAGTGGGGTATCTTCTGTGTTCTGTGATTACTTTGAGAAGCATATGGTTTTCTCTAATTTTTCCTGACCTGGAAGCAGGCACAAAAATTAGGAATGCCAGTAGTCACTGTTTAGGTCTTAGTAGTAACCTAAATTATCCCTCTCCCATATCTGGTGGACTAATACTGCAGACCCTGGAAAGAAACAAGGATGTTTTGGAGGGACTTGTTTATCTTTCTCTTCACTGGTTTTTTTTTTTGGGGGGGGTGTTGTCCTCTTCTTTTTCTTCTTCTTCTTTATTTGGCTCTGTTCTTTTCTTTTTCTTGTTCCTTCCTGTTACTTTTATCTAATTCTATTAATTTTCTTTTAGTCCTTAATAGGCTTCCTAGACAGTTATGGTGGTGCGTAACTGTAATCCCAGCACTCATGAGGCTGAGGAAGGAGGATGTTGCGAATTTCAGGTCACCCTGGGCTACACAGTTCAAGGCTAGCCTGAACTACATAGCAAGACCATGTCTCAAAAAACAAATGCAACAAAAATAAAAAACAAAACAACCTACCAACAAAGAAAACATGGGACCCAATGGATTCACCACTGAATTCTAAAGAATTTCAGGGAAAAATCTAACACACATAATCCTCAAACTCTTTAATGAAATTGAAAGCAAGGAATACTGCCAAATTCATTAGTGGAAGCTAGTATTACCTTCATTTCTTTTTGTTTTGTTTTGTTTTGTTTTTTGAGACAGGGTCTCACTATGTAGTTGAGAATGACCTGGAACTCACTGTGTAGCCCAGGCTGGTGTCGAACTCACAGCGATCCTCCTGCCTCAGCCTTCCAAGTGCTGGGATTAGAGGCGTGCGCCACCACGCCCGGCTTTATTACCTTCATTTCAAAGCCAGACAACTGAGCTAAAAAAGAAAACTACAGGTGAATCTCTTTAATGAACATCAATGTAAAGATCCTCAACAAGATACTAGCAACAGAACATAAGAGATCATCAAAAATATCATTTACCATGACTAAGTAGGCTTCATCCCAAGGATGCAAGAATAGTTCAATATACACTAACCAATAAATGTAAATAAATAGAAATGAGTTTAAAAAAATCACAAGAGCATTTCAATAAATGCAGAAGACACTTTTGATGAAATCCAACATCCATTCATGACAAAAACCCTGAAGAAAGCAGGTACAGAAGAGCTTTACCTCAATCTAATAAAAGCCATTTCTGACCAACCTACTGCCAACATATTAAATTAGAAAAAACTGAAAGCTTTCCTCTAAAATCAGGAACAAGACAAGGATATCCACTACTACCACTCTTGTTCAATGAATCAATCAAAACATTAGGGCAATGAAGCAAAAGAAAGAAATAAAATGGATATGTATAAAAAAGGAAGAGCTGGCCGGGGATTTAGCTCAGCGGTTCGGTGGCCTGCCTTGCAAACGCAAGGACCCGAGTTCAATCCCCGGTACCAAATAAAAAAAAAAAGAAAAGAAAAAGGAAGAAGTTAAACTATCCCTATTCAGACATTATGATCCATTAAATAGAAAGCCCAAAATTCAACCAAAAGACACTTAATTTTAATAAATTCAGCACTGCAACAGGATATAAAAATCAACATACAAAAATCCCACCAAGAAAGAAATTAGAAAAACAATAACCATCTACAATATCTTCAGGAAAATTTACAAACTCAGGAGTTAATATAAAGACCTTGCTAATAAAAACTTTAGTAATCTGAAAAAGGAAATTACAGAGGACATCATAAAATGGAAAGATCTGCTTTTCCTGGATAGGCAGAACCAATACTATCAAAATGGCCATACTTCCAAAACTGATATGTAGATTTAATGCAATTCCAATCAAAATACTAAAAGCACTCATCACAGAACTAGAGAAAACAATCCTAAAAGGCATATGGCACCAGAAGAGACCCAGAATAGCAAACGCAGTCCTGGGCAAAAAGACCAAAGCACAGGCATCACAATCTTGGATTTCAAGTTACATTACAAAGTTGCAGTGATAAAAACTGCATGGTACTGCCACAAATATAGACATATGGATCAATGGCACAGAATAAGATGCAGAAACAACCCCACCACATTGAGTCACCTGATCATTGAAAATGGGGTCAAAAACAAGTTGAGGAAAGACAGACTCTATAGTAAATGCTGTTGGGAAAACTAGCTATATACATGAAGAAGACTGAATCTAGACCTTATCTCTCACCATCCACTAAACTAAAACCAAATACATCAGATATCTAATATTAAAACAGAAATATAACTTGTTGGAAAATAAAATAGGTAAAACTCCTAAAGACAAGGTGTAGGCAAGGGTTTTCTGAACAGAAGCCCAAGTGCACAAGAAATGACATCAAGAATCAACAAATTAAAATTAAAAATCTGAACAGCAAAAGAAACAACTAATAAATAATTATAGAATGCGAAAAAATTTTACCTGCTATTCCTCAGACAGAAGACTAATATCTAGAATATGTAAAGAACTAAAAAAATTAATGGGCAACTGAAATGAATACAAATCTTAGAAGAAGTACAAATGGCAAATAAATACATGAAAAAATGTTCAACACCTCTGGCCATTAGAGAAATGCAAATTAAAACAGCACTGAGAATCTATCTTACTCCAAAAATAATGGCTATTATCAAGAAATCTCCAGTACCAAAAAAAAAAAAAAAAAAAAAAAGAGAGAGAGAGAGAAATCTAATAATAACAAGTGCTGGTAAGGCTGTGGTGGAAAAAGGGAACTTCCATATTGTTTGTGGAAATGTAAGCTATTAGAATCACTAAGGAAATTAGTATAGAGAACCTAAAAATATTAAAAATACAAATTTTATTTGACCCACTATTCCTGTCCTATCTTCCCCAAAGAGTTAAAGACATCATTATAGTGATACATGCATAGCCATGTTTATAACAGAACATTAAATACATAATAGCTGAGTCTTTGAAGTAGCCTAAATGTCCATCAACAGATGACTGGATAAAGAAAACATAATATTGTATTTATACACAATCAAGTACTACTCTGTATAAAGAAGGGTAAATTTGGCCGGGAATTTAGCTCAGCAGTTCCACTGCCTGTCTTACAAGCACAAGGATCTGATTTCGATCCCCGGTACCAAAAAAAAAAAGAAGGGTAAATTTGAGCCATTTGTTGGAAAATGAATGTGCCATATTATTATGTGTAATAAATCAGACACATGAACTTAAAATACTGCATTTCCCTTATATGAGAAACCAAAGTATTAAAAAAGAAGCAAAATAAGAGATATATAATAGGAAACAGGAAGGTGGCTCTTTTGCAAATGAAGGGGACTAAAAATGGAGGGGGAGGAAGGGAAGTAAAAAGAATTAAGATATGTTCTGTACATGTACCAATTCCCCATGATGAATG